CTCGTCCAGCCATCGCTCGTCCAGAAGGTCACGCTCCGTAATGCATCGCAATGTCGACGATGCAAGACTCGAGGTTCATATGTAGTAGAATGGAAGTGTCTAGTTCTCTGCGCCGTCTTACTCTTCGTCGGACTCGTCGTTGTCGTCCGTCATGTCGAGCGGCGCTGGAGCAAGACCAAGCCGCGCGAGAGCTTGCACACGGTGGGTGGGTGCCTATTGAAATGAACTTCTCCTTCACCGTACTGTCGAAACCCATTTGCCTTCGACAAATATGACGAGATACCTATATACATCACAAGACGAGTGTTGGCAGCAACACCGTCATCGTATACAGCAATGCAGCGCGTCTTTATTTATCTACTATCGGTCGTCACTGGCGCTTGACATGGCGTGAATGTGTGGATTCATCGTCATCGTCGTCGTCCTTGGTGCACTGTCGCGCCCCTTTCTTTGCTGCCCATCAGCCAACACGATGTCCAACATAGAGATAATATGTATTCATCGCATTTGTCTCGGGTCTAGTCATATCTATCGACAGTCGCGGACAGCTATCTAGACTGTGCAGATGGTGTCGTCAAGTAATTCTTGCAGCAGCTCGACGAGGTATGCAGCTGTCGGGCGATTGAGCGGGTCAGCGTCCACGCACAGACCGACGAGGTTTCGGTACCACACATCACAGTCGTCGCGCAGTGTTGGGCGCAAGCCGCCATCGACGACGGCCACGGCGAGCGCAACTTCGTCGTCGAAATCGTAGTCGGCAAACGGCAGCTGAAACGTGTCGAGCTCCGTCATGAGAATGCCAAACGCATAGACGTCCGAGGCTGGAGAGGGCGGCGAGTCGCCTGCAAGCACTTCGGGGGCCGTCCATGCCAGCAGCGCGTCGTCGGTGGCCGATGTTCCGGGCACACCGACTTGGAAAAACATGGTGGGACTGAAGAAGACGTTGTGGCTGGAGAGATGCCCGTGAACGAGACCGTGGGCGTGGATGTCGGCCAGAGCATTCGCGATCACGTAGATGATCTGTAGCTGCATAAAACCAGCTGCTTGCATCTTGGCCCGTGCATGAGGCGCTGCCTGCACGTCCCGGAGGCTTTTGGACAGCGAGTCTTGAACCAGGACGCTTTGGGGTCGTGCGGTGGCCACGAGCTGTACGATAAAGGGTGACGTGCATCTATGCGCCGCAGTGCATCGTCATCTGCCAGTACATTCTGGATGTATTTGTCCTACTTGGCAATGGCCTCAAGATCGTCGCCGTTACCGACGTGGCGGTGCACGACATTATGGCCACGATGCATCGCTGCAACCCCGATTGCTGGTAAGTTGTCGACCAACATCTACGAAACAGTGGATTATTGTCTCGTACGCATAGTGCCTCCACGACCTCGAGTACAGGGTCGGACGTTCTGGCGTACAAGATGCGGGCCACGACGCCCCGGCCAACCGCGCTTGCACTTGCCCACGGCATCATCCCACTCTAACCATATCGCTGCTTCGTGGTGACCGGCGTGGATACCGTCAGTAGATACCCCTCGGTGTCGCGTCGATGCTGCGCGGGACGCAAGGGTTTCCAAAAATACTGCGTCGCGCACCAAAGCGCCTTGTTCATTGCTGTATTGGTTGGCATCGATCACCGATGGCGATGGCTGGGGTCGCGACGTATCGGGTTCCGCGGCATGGAAGCGTGCCAACCAGCGCAAGATGCTACGCGGGATCGCTTGCTCGTCTCTCGTGATCTAATGGACGACAGCGATATGAGTGTTGGTGTCGCTGAAACGCTACATGCCCGACGCGACTTCGACCGCTCTACTGCAGGATTCATGGCCATCTTGAGGCGAATGTGCAGCATCTTGAGCTCCGTCATACTCTTCCGCGCCTCCGTGCCGCACTTGGGGCAGATCGTGTCGACGACTGTCATTGGTGACTGGTGGCAATTGGTGGAAATGCACTTGCGCATCCAGTCGACGGGGTAGCCGCGATGGTGCAGCCGCATCAAGCGCCGGACCACCGCGACCATGCGGTCCGTCGGCGAAGCGTCGTGGCCGCACGAACAAACAGCATCGACGGCATGCCAGTTGCCACACTCGGCGCACATGATCTCGGGCTTGTCTACATTCTCCGTCTACAACAATACACCGCAGCTCTAAGCTCCGAGCCATATATCGCAGGCATGCGACACGAACCCGAGACGCCGCAATCTGGACCTTCTCCATGAGATTCACCCCCCTGAATCGTGTCGCTTTATCCTACGCATATGGCACACCATCAAGTCCAACGAGATTGAATAGGGCCGGAATTTACTGATACAAGGTTGCCAATTTCGGCCCCCGTGGCAAGAAGCAGCAGAACGCTTGGCTCGAAATCTGCCAGCAAAGCACATGCAAGAGGCGTTTTGCCCTCCTACCCTTCAATGAGCACTTTGTGTGTCCTATCATCAACGTACATGATTGTGTGCGTCGACGTCCCGCATCAATAAGAAGTTGCATGAGCGGCACGGAACGTTTGGTCACCGCCTCGTGCAGCGGGGTTCGGCCCCCCTACAGGCAACATCATAGAATGAATATTCGGGAGAGTTTGCGTCGCACGCTGTCGTCGTTGACATATGCGCCGCGCTCGAGGAGGAGAGTCACAGCTTCGATGGCCCTTGCTGTCGTGGCTGCCAAAAGAAGTGACGCACCGCCCTAGGATGCTATAGTTTAACACATGAAATGCGTAGAGTGGGATACCGGAAGCGTCCAGTCCAGTGGTACACCGTGGGTCAGCAGCTGCGCCACCGTACCGACACTGTCCTGTGCGACGGCGCGAAGGTACATCTCCGCCACCTACATAAGAAAACTATGAGCGGACGTGACGGTGGCACTGACTTACGCTCATGTCTGGTGGTGGAACAGCGGCCATCTCAGCGCTCAATATTTCGACAATGAGATCGGCCGTCGGCCGCGCCTCGGGGTTTCCGTCCAGACACATCTCTGCTAACTGTCGTAGCCACGGCTCGCACTTGGTCGTCAGCGTCGGTCGAAGCGAGCCATTGATGACACCGCGCACAAACGCGATCGGATCCTGGACGTCTTGGTCAAAGTACGGCAGCTGGCACGTGTCGAGCTCTGTAAGGAGCACACCGAACGCGTAAATGTCGGCAGGAAAGCTGTAGACCATTCCGTTGGCCTGTAGGATCTCAGGTGCCATCCAAAGACGCGTGCCGGGTGCTTCAGTCTTGTCGGTTGCCTCCAGCCGAGCCAGACCAAGGTCCCCAAGCTTGATTTCGCCACTGGTGTTCAGAAGCACGTTCTGACTCTTGATGTCGCGGTGCAAAAGGTGCTTAGCGTGCAGGTCTCGCAAGGCGCTGATGACAACCCAGGCCACTTGGAGGCTGGACAAGTTCATTGGCGTGCGCTCGTTGAGGGCCTTCTTGTCGAGGTAGTTCCGAAGGGTACCACCATTCATATACTCGAGCAAGAGAGCTGGAGCTTCCGAATCGGCGTCAGCGATGGCCCGCAGTTGCACAATGAACGGAGATGGGCACCTATGTAGTGGTGTGCATGCGTCAACTTGCAAAATGTGCAAGTAAATACGCAACGAAGACGCGGGCTTCGGCCTTGAACGACGCGAGGTGTCGTGTGGTCTTGACAGCCACCTGTTCTCCCAGGTACGAGCCCAGGTGGACGACACCAAAGCTTCCGTGGCCAAGCTCGGTTGACGTCACGTCGTACTCGGCGCTCGTAACCTGCGTGCGTGCATTTGACGAGAAAAGCTACCGGCACCGTACCTCGACCGCAGCTCGGTGCACGCAGTCAAAGAGCTTTTTGGCCATCGAGATGCAGCCGCACTCGATGGCCATCGCGAGCGGCGTCTTTCCCACCTAAGAAAGGTACATGAGCTAGGAGCAACACACTCTTATGAATATAGTACTTGGTTGCGCGTCTCGAGAGCAATGCGAGGATCGGTCAAGAGAAGGTCGAGCATGACCTCACTTCGTGCCCGAACCACCAGGTGTACCAGCGAGCACCCTACCTGATGGAATTCACAGCCATGCTCACCGCCTCCGTGTACCTCGTCGTAGACATTACAGCTATACGGGCGCCGAAGAAGATCCGCCAAGGCTTTGACGTCTCGGCAGCGTATCGCTTGGAGGAGGTTCAATTTCTACACAACCTCTTCTCGTCATATCCCAGCATAGCATTCGCAGCAAACATGGTAGTGCGCTGGCAGTAGCAGCTTGACCATCGCGTCGTTTTTGTGCAGAGCGGCAACGTCAATGGCGCGCAGACCCATCTACGTATGGACCACGTTATCATCATGGGTAGATGGGACAAATGAAGCTGCACCAAGTCGTCTTGGACATCCACGTCGACACCGGCCTGTATCATAGCCCTTACGACGTCGAGGCAGCCCTTGGTGGTTGCAATGTGCAGAATCGTACAACCATTCTGAACCAGAGATGCTTCGACACTATGAAAGGTACACGCCGTACCTCGTCGCGTTCGTTGAGGTCAATGTTGGGCGACGCCACGAGCGCTGTGACAACGTCCCAGTGACCATCGATGATCGACATGTACAGCGGTGAGACACCGTTCTAACGTGCCATCATCAAGATGTAGCAAAAAAGGGTAGGTACATGCTTGACGTTGACGTCAGCGCCCTTCGCAAGCAAGGATGGGATGACGTCGGCTACGCCGAAACGGCAAGCGCAATGCAGCGGGCTCTGTCCATTCTAGAGCGCAAATGGTATTGGATCGAATTCAGGTCGAACGAAAGGATACGCTGACGGCGTTGATATCTACGCCAGCGTGGACCAATGTGTTGGCCACTACGCCGTGCCCGTGGGAAATGGCCGCATACAGCACCGTCTCGCCACTCTAGCACACACGGTAAGAGGCGCTTCGTGATGCCAAATTGTAGGTGGCACCTGGTTGCGTGCCGTCGTACTTGCGTGCGCGCGCAGGAGAAGTTGGACGATCGGGTCGTATCCAAAGTATGCTGCGATATGCAATGGTCGATTCCATCCCTACACCCCGTCCGTTACCATCGAGGCGACATGTACGATGCGTGTACGTCATTAGCAGCTTCAATGTCCGCGCCAGCACGAATCAGCGCGTCCACGTTGTCCGTGTGTCCGTTTGAAATCGCGACATGCAACGGCGTGCGCTGTGTCTATACGTACCACAAGAGCAATACTGAGCTCCTACATCCGTCAAGTGTCCTTAACGTACAATGTCCCGCGGACTCACGTTCACGTTCGCGACGCGAAGAAGCTTTTCAAGCATCGCACTGGAGCTATGTGCTGCTGTGTGGAGCACCGTCAAGCCCACCTACAAGACATCATCGGCCATGTCTTTTGCAGTGCAGCTGCAAGGCATTGTACGGTCGTGGCGTTGTTGACGTCGGCGCCAAATTCGAGAAGCCGATCCACAACCTTATAGTGGCCATGTTCCACGGCTTGCATGAGTGGCGTCTCTTTCGTCTACATAGCGCATGCTCCCTTTGGATACGATGCCAGCGACTGCGCGTACCTCGCCTGCGCTGTCTGGGTGGACGCCATTCTTGAGAAAGCTGACGACTGCCTCGTCGTCGCCCGCTCGCACGGCCTCTTGGAAAGCCTCTTCCCGCTAGAAAGGGTCATTTGGTCAACAGTTTCGACGCCGATCAAGATATGTGGTACGCTGAACGGTGCCACGATTCGGCCCACTCTCTACACACAGCACAATAGAGATGGACGAACGGCGTGCTGCAGACGGACAACAGGGACGAAAGGCGCGAGATGCTGTTCTGCTCGCGGGACGCGTGGAGGCGTCGGAGTGGTCTCGATTGCTTGATGTCCCGCCTAGAAGATACATGTATGCCGTGGGTTCCATGCGAGCGTGTAGACTGAAGAATTAGTACCGCTCGGTCAGCCTCGAAGGCTCGCATCGAAGCGAAGCGGTTGACGTGCCTACATCGTAGGGCAGACATGTACCGAAGCAGTCCAGAACATTGGACGTACGCCTTCAAAATGGGGAGCAAGTTATCGACAAGCTTGGCCGCCTTCGGACGGCGAGTCGGATCTACATCCGTGCATTCCGCTGCGAGAGCTTGGGCCCATTCGGTGCTCGCATCGGTAGGGTTAGGGTACAGCGTCTCGAGGAGAATCCCAAACGAGTAAATGTCGGCGGGTTTTCCGTAGCTGCTTCCGGACGTCAGCACTTCGGGCGCGCGCCACTTGCTCGTGCCAGCACCCGTCGTCATGTACGCCGTCACTTCCTTGGCGATGCCGACGTCACCCACTTTGATGTAGTGCTTGGACGAGAGGAGGATGTTGTCGGTTTTGATGTCGCGATGGACAACGTCCTTGGCGTGGAGGTCGTTGAGAGCGTTTGCGACAACCCAGAGAATCTCAATGGGCGTGTATGTAACATGGCACTCCTTGTCCTTGGCCAGTTTCTCGAGGTACGAGGTGAGGTTTCCGCCATCCATGTACTGAAAGAATAGCTGCGGCGCGTCCGATTCGGCGGTGGGGGCGACCAGCCGCACAAGATACGGTGACGGGTTGCTAGAGCAGTCGTGAACAACAAGAGCATAAAGAGTGACAGCCTTCGCGACGTACTCGATGAGAATTTGCATCTCAGCGCGAAGGCTCGCAGCGCCAACATGAGGATTCCAAAGTTCCTTGATGGCCACGTCTTGGCCTTGGAGCGAGCCCTTGAAGACGATGCCGTAGCTGCCGCGGCCAAGCTCTCGCAAATGCACCGTCGACACTGCAGACACCTGTGGAATGAAGGAGCATGAGCCATCATGACTCGTGTAATGCAGTGTATAGAGACCTACCTGTGCAATATTTGCAGCTAGTGCAACGTGGAGTTGACGAACGAGCAATGGATGGCCCAGCTTGACTGCAATTGCCTCGGGCGACTCACCGAACTAAGGAACAACCAAGTCAGAAGCTCGGTTGTCAAGGCAATGTGATAACCGCGTTGACGAGGCTGAGCTCGACCGCAGAGTCTTTTAGGAGCTCTGCCAAAAGCCTGGCGTCGCTGCCAAGAAGGGCTAGATGCACTAACGCGTTCCCGTGCTAATGTTATCGCCATAGGACCACTCATCGGAATTGATCGCGGGTACCTCGTCCGTCTCGTTAACGCTGAGGCCCTCGGAAAGAAGTGCTTGAACGACGTCGACGTTTCCTTGGCGGGCTGCATGCAGTAGCACCATTTTCTATAGCAACAAAGCATATACACTCTGGCATAGCACGAGCTACGCACCTTGGCTCGAACGTCTTGAAGGACAGCAAGAACATCCGCGTTACCCAGAGCTTGGGCGGCCAGAAGCGGTGTGGTCCCATCCTACCCACATGACATAAGCACATCCAACCAGATTCATGAAAGCGTACGTTTGCTGGCTTGTCAAGCATTGCCCGCGCGTACGTCAACTGGCGCACCATGTTGGCGTGACCGTGGACGACTGCAGCATAGAGTGCTGTCATACCATACTACGCAGGCGTTTGTGATCACTTTTTGATAAAGCAGCACCATTGTCACCTCTCTATCCACCGCATTCACGTGGGCGCCTACTTGCAGCAGGATCGCGACGATTTCTAAGTGATTGTTCGCAGCCGCAGCAATGAGGCACGGGTCCTATCGAAAGCTGCGTACTCCGTCTTGCATTGACAAAGAGATCGCACCGCGGCGGGGTCGTTGACTTTGGCGCCGGTCTCCAGTAAAGCTTTGACCGATTCGATCTTACCCCGAAAGCAGGCTACGAGTAGTGGCGAATTGCCCGACTAGTATCACTGTCAGTCATTCAACGTGGCGATCAGCACATACAAAAGACGTTGCATTCGGGTCAGCCCCCTTCTCGTTAACGAGGAAGCGGATCATTGCAACGTGGCCTTTCTGCGCCGCATACGCGACAACGCCAAACCCATTCTAGAACAGCACCACAGCTGCTACCTACACATTCAGTACAACGTGCACGAACCTTGTCGACGTCGGACAGGTTAGCACCGCGGGCAAGGAGCTCGGACGCAACGGCCACACTCCCATTGTCTGCTGCCGTCAAAAGGGGCGAAACCTTGCGCTACGACACGAGTAAGATGACCGTCGCATGTACTGGATCAAACCAAATCGTCGCTGCGATGAACGTCGGCTTTTGCGTCGAGAAGGACGCGAACAATGTCCTCGTTGCCACCGTGGGCAGCAGCGCCCAGCGCGGTGCCAGTCTATGGAACGCGTGCGATAACGCCTCGTCGGAGGATGCACGAGGGCCTACCTCACTATGGAGGTTAACGTTGGCGCTGCGATTGAGAAAGAGATGCACGAGCTCGATGGGTCCGCGGCCGGCAGCGATCATGAGTGCTGTCGCTCCATTCTAATGCGACGCACCGCGTGAGAATTTTAACGCCGTCAGTAAGTCAATTTTGTACCCGAAGTTGCAAGTCGACGGTGGCACCGGCATCGAGAAGAAGCTCCGCAACGTCGACGCGTCGTTAAAGTGCCGCGATGAAAAGCGCATGATGCCCCACCTACAGTATGCAGTGTCTGTCAGCTGATGTATCTTGTGACGACGTAGTCGGTACGTGGTTGCGGCGGTTGGGGTCGGCGCCTTCGCGAAGGTGTGTGACCACTCTCGACGTGTTGCCAGAAGCTACGTCGTCGAGGAAAGCCATGGTGCTCTGAGGCTTTCGCATGACCGAATCAAGGACCAAGCACGCCTCTTTCAGTATCGGGCAACTTCGGAAATGACAGAAATGGCCTATGGAAATGACCTCAAATATGTATGGTGCTGAGAGCTGGGTGCAACAGCTGTTGGCCTAATGGGTGCTCGCAGTCCATCTCACTCATATTGCTGACTACGAACTTCAAGTGTTGGGACCACGTCATCGTTCCCACCAGGATAATCGGTACAGTCAGGAAGCAGTGGGCGGCTACGAGCGTCGCCGATCACAGCGAGGCAGCGCTGTACGAAGCTTTCATCGCGTCTACGTGCTGCGGCACGACTTGTGCAAGAAGTTGGGCCAAAGGACAGTACAGTTCCCATGCCGGGTCCCGAGCGTGCATGCCATTATCGATGGTACATGGCCTCGAGCCATCTCTGGAGAAGCGACGACACTTGCGTCGGGTCGACGATCGCAAGCACCTTGACCGCCAGCAACCCTGGTTGCTCCCACGATGTGTAGGCGCCACCGTACCTTGGCCGCGAGAGGTGCTCGGCCGACAGCGTCGGTGCGAGCGCCAGAACCAGCAACGCGACACGAGCGCGCACGTCGTCCTGCAACGTCCGTTCTTGGAGCAGCTGTCGGGTTCTTGCGACCGACACCGAGACAAGAGCGTCCAGATCGCTTCAAATCGAGCCACATCGCAGCGCCCCGCTCGGTCCAGCAGAGTAAGGATGCTCGAAAAGATGGTCGTCCCCAGCTTCTTGTGTCGCACTTTGTCTCCATTGAATGTCTCGAGAGCTCGCTCGATGGCGCAGACGTACGGATCCAGGACGATCGTTGGCTGGCTTTTCAAAGCAATCACGAGCGCTTTGGGAACGTACGAGACATCTTCCGTGCCATTCGCTTCTTCTTCATGAGCGTCAAGGTACCGAGATGACGGACATACAGAAACGATTCGACCGCAAGAATCATACTTGGCGGCAAGAAGGTGCTGAGGTAGTTGCCGCCGGCCGCATTCGGCGCACCTTCGTCGATGTACCAGTCGAGAAGGACGACGTGGGTCGCAAACCAACAGAGCATCTCGGGATTGGAGTCGTTCTCTGGGAGGAGCCGATGCTGGTCAAGTGCGTGGTGGTAGCACCCCTTGATCGGCTCGCACACAAATGGTTGATCCAATCGGGGAAAGACTGCGTCCTTGGTGATGCCCGCAAGACTCGCGAGGAGTCGCGGCGCGCTGTCAATAGGAATGTCTTCAAAGAAGGCGCTTCGAGACGGTGGCGCTTGGTACCAGCGAGAGAGAAGGCCGCAGATGGCCGGTGCAAGACGGCGCCGGCCATACTGCGTCAGACACGCATGGATGCACGCCGCAGTGGCCCATGTCGTAGCCGACAAAAATGGCATCACGTAGAAAGATGACGACCAACTCTAAGACCAGCTCGCACAATTTTGTGAGACGCGCGTTGATCACTCCGTTTCGCATGGCCCGTATCGCTCGCGCCGAAAGCCATCAAAGGTCCCAAGAAGAACATCGCGGATGGTCGGGAGACCAAGACAGACCTGGTCCATGGTGTTGTTGGCGATGGATTCTGTCACAAGAGGCAGCACAGCATCCAGACCGAGCAGAGTGCACCGATATCTCTCAAGCCAAAACACGAGCGCGACTGGCGGGCACTCGAACAAGTGGTAGTCCATCGGCGTGCTGTCATTGAGAACCGCGTCCACGCAGCTACCAATGCGTGCCGCGACAACGTCTGCGTGGATCTGACACCGTGGGTGCAGCATGCACACGGCCACTTCGTTTTCAATCTTGGGCTCGTACCCATTGTCCTCCTCGTCGTCATAGTCGTCACTGACGTCGTCCTCGGGCGACTCTTGAGCAAACGCCGTGTCGTACGGCTCCGTGGCCAAAAGCTTGTCAACCAACGATGTGTCAAGACCTTCGAGAAACTCAAAACGCAGGAAGTCGGCGGGGGCCTCAAAGTGTCAAATTCGTCGTTGTCGATTGGGACCGCAATGCGCTGGAGCGTGTGAAGAGGCATGTGTGCGATGCGCTTGAAGGCGTCGATACCGTCATTGAGGTTGCACGGCCTCGGGAAATCATCCACGCTGTAGTCGACCATACCGAGACGGTAGACGAGCGCCATGCGCACTCCTCTTGTGATGGTCGTCGAGGTCGGGACGAGGTCGCGGTACGTCGTGACCATCTCGCCCATGCGACTCTTGGGCGTCCATGTCTCGGTCTTTTAGCCATAGCGAAATGCCATCGTGCCGCGTAAGCAGAGGGCAAGTGCAGAATCATGTAGCCAAAGGTATCGTCCGGCATGGTTGTTGGGAGGAGCGCGGCGCCGGCGCCAACGGCGTCAATAACGAGGTGCGAGGTCATGAAGTCGGTGTCCGTACACCCATACGTCGATTTCTGTTGCAGCTCATTCTGGACGATCTTGCGCCACGCAGCGGGCCGCCCAATAGAAAGGACGTTGGTAGAAGGTTGCCATTGGGGATGCCGAGTGCCGCGACGGCTGCTGCGTGTGCCGGTGAGCGGCCATGTGATGTTACCGTTGACACAGCGCGGTGCTTGCTTTGAGACGAGTGGTGTACAAGCATGGCGACGCTTCTTGCACTTTTCCAGTGCCGCTTCGTAAATCTCCTGGTCGGTATCGCTCGCTTGGGAGCACACGCGTTGTGGCATCCTTGGTCGTCCAAAGTCTCTAAAAGGAAAACACCTTGGAACCAACGTTGCTGGTAGTCGAAACGGCATTTACTATCTATCTATCTATCTATCTATCCATCCATCTATCTATCTCTACAGTGCACCAAGAGTTGAGCAATGTTGCGCAGCTCGTACTCATAACGTCCTAGTTGAGGAGGGTTGATGCTTCCCGTAGCATCGCAAAAAAACTCGTGCACGAACGGTGTACAACAGCCAAGAAACAGTGATCCTATACGCACTCCGGTAAAGGCAAAGTGACGAATGAGGTTAGGGCTTCGCGCCCTTCCTAGGAGCTACTAAAACCGTAACCCAAGCAACATGCTCCATTCCAGAGACATGGTCTACGTTCTTGGGGACGCGTGTACATAATGGCACAAAACGTCTTCGGGGCTTGGGCGCTTTCTTCAACTTCAACCGTACTTGAGAGGGTACGTCGAACTTTTAGGAGACGCTACCTTTCTGGCATTCCACCAGATCCGCCGTCCACTCTGTAGCCGCGGCCCTCCAGCCACGACGGCGCCCGTGCGCCAGTGCTCCATGTCTTGGCACCAGCTCTTCTCCAGCTTCCTTCTTTCAGCGTGCACTGCTCGTGAGCGTGCACTGCTCGTGAGCTTGCACTTCTCGTCCAGCTTGCACGTTCCTTGTCCAGCCGGCGCTCGCCCAGACGACCACGCTCCTTGAGCGGCCCGCGCTTCTCTCACAGGCGGCATTCCGTACATGGAGTGCTCGTGGGCCTGGCCATGGACCCTCAAGATAAGCAGTTGTCGTGCCCGACACCAAGGAACACATGCAACGCGCGCACAGCAAACCGCCGCCAGCGAGAAGCGCCGCCACAGACCTTGACACGTTTGGCATGTCGCTCGTGGGCGTCAATGCAGCCGGCGCGCCCGTCTACACGTACGCTGGGCGTATGCGCGGACGACGCAAATGAGCTCCGCGACGCGCTCGCCAAGGCGCAGAGGTAGGAAACCCTCTTCTTCTTTTACTATGGTTCCATGAGCACAAGTCGGCGGCCGATGTCGACTCTAGGCATGGCAGCTGACGACGAGTCGCTCTGCATTGAAGCCACGACTGAGTCGCCTGCCACGAGATCGACGAGACTGCCGCCTCAGGTCGCGACCTGGTCTCTTGGACCATTTTGCCGAGAAGAGCGTGACGCTGGGCGCTGCCAGGCCCTCAACGCGAGCGCTGCAGAGACTGTAGTTCAAGTTGGAGGCGCTCGAAGTTCGCGTCATTGCGCTCGTCAACGACGGGCTTTGCGCTGCTCATCATGACGCACAAATCTGCAAGACGTAAGTCGAGGTTCATATGCAGTACTAGTAGAATTGAAGCTTTTAGCTATCTGTGTCGTCTTACTCTTCGTCGAACTCTTCGTCAGACTCTGCCAGGTCGATCACCGCTGGAGCAGAAGAGCCAAGCTGAAAAAGAGCTTGCGCAGCGGCCGTGAGATGGTTCAAACACGCAGGGATGACGTCCTCCACGACAAAGGTGCAAATGAGCAATGTTGTCACCCTACATCATCGTCGTGGCATGAAGTATGACCCTTCCGACAGCAAAAGGTCGCCGCACGTATACGACAAGTAGAGGAACGCGCTCGCGCGGAAGGTGTGGGCATCGAACCCGTCGTCGTTCGTCGCGTCGGGGCGATGGTTGTCGTCGAGGAAGTCGTAATCGTCGGTAGCCTTGCGATCGTCGTCGCTGTGCTTGCCCCCGCTTAGCGCGATGGTCAAGAGCAGTATGGTCACCCAGGCGGCCACCTGATTGGCAACGCGACGAGGCAGCAGATGGAGGATGACCGAGAAGGCCACTGCCCCGAGGACGATGGCCATGCGCCCGAGGAGGCAGCCCCGCATGGAGGCGAAGGCTCGGGTGAGGAGCGGTGCTTCTTCGCGGGTCATGAGGTCGGAGGTCCGCGCGGTCGATCGGGAAATGCAATCGCAATGCAGTAAAATAAAACAATTGCTGCATATAATTTAAATCGTATATTCTATGTACATGTATCATTTGTATATGTATGCATTAAAATACAAATAATTGCAACGGTGCTCGCGGATTCGCTCCGCGCCTGCTGGATTTATGGCGTTCGTGCAAGCTCATTGGCTTGATTGGATTCGCTTTGACCAATGGAATCGGAGAAGATGCGTCGTGGGATCGCTTCTGGGTTCCGTGCGGCGGCCCATGGCGCGCGCCCACCCGACGGCCAAAGCTGCCGCTCCCAAAGCCTTGCTTGATTCTTGTCACTTTTGTTTGGGCATTGGGGTGCTATCTTTGCAGCCATGTCGACCCTTGGCGCGGGCAGGACCTTGGACAACGTCTAGGACGGTGAACCACCAAATTGGCGACTCGTACGAATGAAGGAATCACGTAATTACCGAATGCGCACGTGTCTGATGCTTGGATTGAGAGCCTGCCAGGCGCATTCACTTACAAACCCGCACTGGATTGCAATCCTCATTTGGTCAACACACAGTCTTGGGAGCGTGCTCTTCTCTCAGCTTCATGAAGGCGGTCGATTTTGTTGGACGCATCCAGACCAAATGGTTAAGTCGTTGCAGCTCGCCAGCTCTATCCCTTGACGGAACAAAGTATTCTGTCGACGTCAGCGAGTTTAGACACTGGTGTTCCACCAAACGTCTTTAGATAACCTGTTGTAGACTCTTGGTACCACCAGTGTTTGAGTCCCAGTGGCGTCCCCAATTCAATTGAGACGACGAAGGAAAAACACGTTTCCAGAGCTCAACACGAATATTTTGCTGCTGAAATGCTTAACCAATGAACTACCAGTGCAGACAGAATCGTCCATGACGGCGTTGCGGTTGCGCTTCCGCTGTGTATGGCCAGAATCAGCTACATAACCATCCACTCGCAAACCCGCACAGGATGGCTGTTGCCATCAAAAAGGCGCTGCCCAACGATCCGGAAATTATTTGGATCCGGATAAACATTTGGCGCAGGGACGAATTTACACGATCCCAAGCATGATGATCTTGAAGTGACACGGTCTCGCCAATGAAGCAGAGCGGAAAAGTCTCGAAGCTGCGTCAAAGCAGCCTTTAATGTGCCTATTGGTTCATGGTTGTGAACGCCAGAACAACTACACGATCAATCCAGTGTTTGGCAGGAAACAGTATTTGAAAAATATCCGGTCAAATTATTGAGTTGTCCTTCGAAATTCGCTACCACAAGGTATTGGCCAATCACATTGACGGAAAATGCTAAAATCGAAGCTGGTATCATGCAAATCAACGTCCCAACCAGCCGCGATAGCTGCTGTTGGGTTGTGGCCCGATCGCGCCACATCCGTTTTTCGTTCTTGCACACACCAGCATGAGCCGACTCATGCTCCGTGCCATCGCGCTGCCTCTACTACTCGTTCGACCGCTTCTGTCGTGGCGTAGTCTCATACTCTCCGATGCTACCATTAGAGCACGTCGCTCATGGCGGCGACTTGCCCATATACGGCCTACACGTCGTCGTACTCGGCAGCCTATTGCGGACCTTCGGCGTCGTACTGCATCGTCGACAACCAATGCGCGGTGCGTTTGACAGCTACCTTGACATCGAGGCTCACGTTTCCTTCTGTAGGTACTCAAGGCGCTGTCACCGACGAGCCCCAGCAAGCCTGAATTATTTCTCATCACTGGTAGTTGAGATGCACACATTCATCGCAAGGGCTCACTGCATTGTACTATGCCCAGAGTCGGCGTCGTACTTGGCCGAGCTGCCGGCGGGAGCCACCTCTGTGTACGCTGCTGTCATCGCTACCCTTGTATTCACTCATGATAATGTGTAGCTCATTTGATGGCACACGGATCCAGACCGTCGGCAACCTCTCGTCCTATCACAGCCTCACCTTTTTGTACAACAACGTCATCACATTTTCTCGTTTGAAACGTCCCTTGGGTGGTGGACTTGTAGGGGAATCACCAACAACCCGAACCTCAACATTGCATCAGCGATCTTCCCGCCCAACGTCAACAGCTTGTACACCGCGCCTCTTAACAATCGGCGCTGATCGTGGACGCTCCTAGAATGATTACGTACTCGAACGTGACGCAACTGCCGCCGGCCTTCCCACCGCTCGCTCAACTGTACTGTACATCATGTCCATTCGACACGCGACATGTCCGCGTCTTTAGACAGCTGCAAAACAACAACTTGACGAGCATCCACGACCTCAACCTCAGCACCCTCTCGTACCTGTAGGTTTCCAACGTCAAAAATGGCGTGGTGCAGCACGTATTTGAGATAGGGATCTTTCGGGCAACCCGCTGCACGACCTCCACAACGTTTCGTTTCGCACAAAGCTCGAATTGTACGAATTAACAACGTCGCACCGTAAGGCCTCTGACGTTACCTCGTAGCTCGTTGGCGGGCATTGAGTTGACGACTTTTCTCATCGACAAGGCAACGCTCAAGGCGATCGAAGCAACCGGCAGCTATTTCTCGCCAAAGAGCATCGACGTGAGCTCATCCTGTGTGGCGCCCAATACACTGCAGACGCTTTGGAACACGGTCAAGAACTTCACCGTGTGCACCTACCCCGGTATGACAACTTGTACATTTGGCTATTCTCAAGTGTGAATATGGTCACTTAGGACCAGCCGCGACGACCATTGTGCCGGCGACACTGCCACCAAACCCGACGTCCTTGTCCGCGGCAGCGATCGGAGGTATCGTTGCCGGCGGTGTCGTGGGCGTGCTTGTACTTGGCCTCATTGCTCTCTACGTTGTCCGTGCCCGCCGTCGCGATGACAAGTACGCCATAACGTTATGTGTGCATCATTCAGCGTCCGGGTTGTGTAGACTGATGGGACGTCGACCGCCGCTCACAACGACAGCCAACACCCAAGACACGGGATCGATGGACCCTTCGGGACGCCAGCCGCACGACCTCAGTGTACGCACTCCCTCGTCCACAGCTAAAGTTGCAGAAACAGTGTTGAAACGTAGGCTCTCTTTGGCGCACGGCTCGACGAGGACGACCTCGTTCGCTCGACGTTCCTGGCTGAAGGCGCGTACGGGCAAGTGTGGCGTGGCTCCTACAAAGGTACATCGCTGGCAAGAGACCTTGGCTCAGGCAGTGTCTTGTAGGCAGCGACGTAGCCATCAAGTGCTTGCTACCGGGAAAAAGTAGCCACGTGGCGCTCGGCCACCTCATTGACGAGATCCAGCTGACGTTCCAGTACGTCCAGTCAACCACCTCGGTATTTACTCAAGCATCCCATCTCAACTAGGATGAACAGCCCGTACATCACCAAGACCCTTGGCGCCAGCTGGCGCGTTCCGTCCGAGCTGCAGATGGTTCTCGAGTACATGGACCGTGGCGACCTCAAGAGTGTGCTCGAGACGACCAAAGCATCGCCCGACACGCTCTTCCCGTGGGATGAGAAGGTCGGAGCCATGTTGGCCATCGCAGAAGGCCTTGTCTACCTCCACTCGCTCGATATTATCCACCGGGATCTCAAGTCCCGCAACATCCTTCTCGATACTGTCAAGGTACCAGGAATCGAAAGAGAATATCCCTAACCCTATGGGGATAGGGTTGCAAGCTCACCGACTTTGGCACGTCGCGCGAGGTCACGACCGCGACCATGACAGTCGGCGTCGGCACGTACCGCTGGATGGTACACACTTGTCTATTGTTCTATGAAGACTAGGGTTCTAAATGTACTGTAGGCGCCCGAGATTCTCCAAGAAAACCACTACACGACCGCGGCCGACATGTACTCGTTTGGTATGGTAGTCTCGGAACTCAGCACGCACCATATTCCGTACGCGGACCTCCGCAATGACAAGGGTATCGCGCAACCTTGGATATGTGTAATTTTATATCGTAAAACGATAGGAAACGCGCTGGTGGACACGGCCATCATGAGCCGTGTGATCCAAGGCACGATCCAGCCGACAATTGGCGAGAGCTGCCCGTCGTGGATCCAGGCGCTGGCCACAGCATGCTTGGCGCATGCACCCGAAGATCGACCAAGTGCTTTGAAAGTCGCACACTGCGTCCGCCAACACGTGCAGACAGCATTGTAACTCGATACATTGATACAAAATCCGTGGTTCACTGGATGATGGCGTCTTATCTACTTTTGCTCGGTGAAGAGCTTTTTGGCACTGACTGGACGATCTTGGCTCCGCCACACGTGCGCTTGCGGCTACTCATGTCTTCGGAAGACAGCGGAGTTCTGCGGGCAGCATCGCGGCGTCGGCATCGGCAAGTCCCGGGCATGAAGCAGCGCTTGGTGTCGTACTCTGTCGACAGCGTGGACATCGCCCTCGCCGAGATCAAGCGCGCAACGACTGGGATGTTGTCCGTGTACTTGGTTGCAGCAAGCAGCGCTGTGAGTTACCTTTCTAAACACTACTAGTATATGAGAAACTCTGTAAGATGCATCCGCGCCTCGGTCGAGCAGACGCTGCATCGCAGTGGAATCGGCACCAAAGACATCAGCACTGAGAAGCGGTTGTCCGTACTACAAGCACCATGCATGTCATGGATGGCGCTGTGCGCACGAGGCACGTATGTCGTCCACGCTGTTGGGGTCCAGACCGTTCTCCAAGAGTTGCGTCGCGACGTCGAGCTGGAGGCGTGGCGGAAGACCTTCGCCATCTATCACGATGCCAATATTCGAGCACCTCGAGTAGTCTAACCTTGAAGGTCGTCTGCGCTTTCCTCATGTGCTTGCCGAGGAGCGCGGGGAGGTGTGCGGCGGTCGGACGCTTGGTCGGGTCAGCGTCCACGCACGGCAACACCATTTCGGTAAACCAGGCCTCGCACTTGCTGTACAGGGAAGATTGACGGCCATCGGTCGGGAGTCGGTGCCTAGTATCGAGCTCAGTACACGCGCTCTTCATCATTTTCTTTGGCTTGACGCTCTTCTTCTCCAGCTTTGGCCCCAACATGTCGACGTTCGTCATGCCCACGGAGATGTACCCGACAGCCATCAAGAGCTTGTGCCACGGCTTCTCGGCGGCTATGGGCAAGGCGGGCGCCGCCATTGGCTCGTATGGCTTTGCGCACTGGGTGAAGGCGCCCGGCTTTGGCTACGTTGGCACGTGGTACACGTTTGCGGGCATTTGCTTGTTGACGCTTCTCCTCACGTGGTTCTGCATGTTTGACAACAACGACGGCGACATGTCTACCATTGACAACGAGTTCAAGGCCAAGCTCGCGCTCGAGACGAACGAGACGCACCAGTCGTTTATTGCGGGCGACGACCACGAGTTTGACAAGGACGTGGGCTACGTCAAGGCCTAGTTGGTGTGCTTTTTTCAATCCAATGATTGTTATTTTGTACATTGTACTGCGTCGTTGCGATGGGCTAGCACGTTTCACAGTGCGTCGCCTTGGGTCGGGTCAAACATCATAAATACGAGACTGCCAAATCTTGGGAACAAAGTAATATAATTGGTGACCTTTGGTCTGCTTGGCTACGGTGCAGACGACTTGTTGTCGCGCCTCACTCAGACCCAGACGCGGCATTGGGCGGGCTCCTGCATCTCATCCATCTCGACCTTTATGGCGTGCTCAATATGTATGTAGTGCAATAAGAAGCACCTCTTCCTCGGGAAGCGAGCCAGCTTGGCCTTGGACCAGCACGTCAATGCCATGGCCAACCTCTGGCGTCGCCGCGCGCTCGTGTGTTTCGTCTTGGGCCGCACGGGCTTCCTCGGGACGCGGGCCAGCTTGGCCTTGGATCACCACGTCAAAGGCGTGGCCAAGTTCGGTCACCAGAGCGCGGCCTTCTGCGAAGAGAGCCACACGGTGCACTTCACGGAACTTGTCGCGCGAGCCGGCTTGGTCTTCATGGAGCATGTCACGCACGACGGTTAGACCACGAATGGTCGATATCGGCTATTGTCCGTCGTAGTCGTACGAAGTCGTACAACCAGTGGCGCAGTTCCTGTCGCCGCCAGCGTCGCGCCCGCCGCAAGCAGCGACGATCGCTGCATGGCCAAGCTTCGCGGCTGTCGTCAGTACGGCGTACGTCATCTACAGCCCATCCATGTGTGCAGGCTCATGTTCGTTTATGGACAAGATGGCTACCTCGCCGCGTGCGTTGGCATCCGCGCATCAAGTATCGTGGCCACAGCGTCCGCGTCGCCGGCAAGGACTGCAGCTACGAGCGCTTCGGGGCGGATCTACACGGGCGGCTTTAGTACCAGCGATGGTGCCCCCATCTACCACTGCTTCATCTCTCATGCTGCTGATCCGAGTATGGGTCAGTCAGTCAGTCTGACACCCGTGCAAAGTATTGAGTGACCAGTTCGCAGATCCTGCTAGAGGACGATTCACTCTTAGTGAGATACAGATTCGGACTCGCCTCGACTTGGCGATGCTAGACTAAGAAAGTTTGATACGATTTGAAGGACAAGAGGGAGGTTAATAACATATGTATTTTGACAGGTTTTTGCTGCGACGACCGCTTCGGGCAAGGGCGTCTCACGATAAATCTTTTCCGGGGACGTCGCGCCATGGCCCTTGAAGATACGTGCATGCTACACCCTGCATGCGACCAGCCAAGTCGATGGCAGCGACGATTGTAACGTGGCATTGTACGCCAAACATGTGTTCCGCGGGTTGTGGACCGTCTACGCCAAAAGCGCGGGACTGCGGCAATGTGTCACCATTTCGAGATGACCACCGAGTTCCACCGCCGCGCGCACTGCACTTGGTGTTGGCACGCGCGCTCGCCAACAAGTGCATAAGAACTCGACACATTGATACAAAAACCATGTTTTGCTATGATAGCCGCGGTGGATCTACTTTCTCTTGGAGAAGAAGTTTTTGGCGCTGGACAAGACCGACTGGACGACCTTGGCCGCGCCACATGTGCGCGTGCGGCAGCTCAAGTCCTCGATCGATAACGGCATGCTGCAGTCGGCACAGAAGCGCGCCGTGGTCATCGGCAAGTCGCGTGCCAGTAGCATCACGCGCCAGCGCTCGGCGTCTTCCAGCACGACGGCAACATCGACGGGTTGCTTGCGCATCGACACCGTGCCGGCACAAAGGTGTTCCTCTCGCAGCGTCCGCGCAATCTCGAGCGCAGTCTTGCCTTCCTGCATCGTACGTTGTTGCATCAGTATTGAGTCGCAGTAGCAACCAACCTTGTCGCGCGCGAGCAGTGTCGACAGGTCCGAGTAGACGAGTTGGGCGACGGCCAGCGGGTTGCCGAAGAAGACTGCGTTTATAAGCGGGGTATCGCCGTCCACCTAGCTCCAGCGACGTGCTACCCGTTGCCTCACCTTATCCACGGTACCGGATGCACTGCATGAATGTCGGCGCCCGCATTGATCAAGATGGCAAGGATCTCGTAGCTAAAGATCCGACTCGCTGCAAACAGCAGCGGTGTACCCAGTGGACCCTAATACAACGAACATTGAGATGACGTATCCAAGGAAGGCTGTCATGACCAGTGGGTGGTTGACGTCCGCGCCGCGCGACAGCATAAAGCGCACAAGCTCGGGGGACACTGACAAGATCGCGGCACACAAGACGCTCTGGCCGTTCTGCGGTACGATGGCGCGCATCAGCAACACAGAAATGCTAAAGCGGGCTGGTACCGTGAAGACAGCGTTTGGGTGGAGCCCGTCGTCCAAAAGCTTGGTGATAACGTCCATCTGCAACGGACAGGTCGCTTCATCAAAGGCCCGAAACATCTAGAGATGCATGAAGAGATGTATCCTCAAGGCACGCCACCTCGCGCTGCTTGGTGGCCGCGTCGACGTGGGGTTGCAGGCGAGTGACAACGTCGGCGGCGGTCAGCCGCAGTGTCGGGTCGTCCGTGGTGCAGCGAGCCACAATGTCGGCGTACCACGGCTCGCAGTCGTCGCGAAGACGTCCGAGCTGGACCGTCGGCATGAGGAGCGTGTCGAGCTCCGTAAAGAAAACGCCGAGCGCGTACATGTCGGACGCGGGCGTTGGCGGCAGCTGCGCCACGCGCACTTCCGGCGCTGTCCACGGCGCCATCGACGTGCTTGGTGGTACGTAGCCAGGATACAGTGTGTGGATCGTGCCGGCATACGGGTCCGCGTACAGGCTGTAGCTTGAGAACGACCCGTGGACGCGACCTGCTGCGTGGAGATCGGCGAGCGCATTTGCGGCCACAAACGCAAGCTGGAGCTTGGTCGGCCACGTCTGGAGGCGCGATCCCGGCACTTGCAAATCGAGCTTGTGGCGAAGAATGTAGTCGTGCACCGACGGGGGCTCCGCACGCACGTACGCCGAGGCACTCCTACGTGGCATCAACACCTACCCCTAGGAAGACGCCTACGTCATCGCCGCATTGTCCTAATAAATGGCAGTATGAGACATGCAACATGGGAGACGTATCCAAACGTACGGTGGGCGGACACATAGCCGTATAGAGAACGCGCACGAGATCGGCGGCGCCCGCGGCGATCGCGACAGCCAATGGCGTTTCCCGCGCCTACAATGGCCGTCAGGACGTCGAGCGTCGTCACAGCGTACGTTGTTTTGGTGGTCGATCGGGATGCCGGGCGCTGCCAGCAACACTTGCAGCATGGCGAGGTTATTTTGCTTGACAGCGTGGTGCACGAGGGAGTTGCCATACTAGTCAGTTGCCCCAATGTGAGAGACGAGCCATGTGGTGTGGATCCAATACGCAATCGTTGCGGGTCGGTGTCGTGGGCTGTGCTAGCAACTGTACTAGCCTCGGCATGTTGTCCTCCTCGATGGCGTCGATGAGCGCCTAATACCATGTCCAATGCCTTTGACACTATCACGGAGCATAGCCTACCATCATGTGGCCGTACTCGGCGTTGCGCTTGTCGAGGTCGGTCGAGGCCGCAAGCTTTCTTGCTGCGTTCCTGCGGCGGAACCAAGCCGCGATATACCGGAGCGCTGGCGTCTTTGTGGTCTACGACGCATGCTGTGACTCTCCGATGCGAGGATGGATGCTCTCCAAGTGCAAAGCGTACAGGCTTTGTGGCCGCGAACCACAGTCGCTTGAGCAGCATCTTGAGCTCGTCCGTGCTCGCGGGCGACGCGCGCTGGCAGCCAGGACACGTCTCGAGCATAAACATAGTGCGACTGCACGGCACACAGGTGCGCGTCCAGTCGATCGGCACGCCACGGTGGTGCAGCGTCACGAACCGACGCACCAAGCACGAGACCTTGTCGTACAGCGAGGCGTCGTGGCCGCAGGCAGCGCAAGCAGCCTCGATCGGATGCCACGCGTCGTCGCAGCCAGCGCAGAGGCGCAGCTCAGACGTGGCGGCGTGCTACGACGAGTCATTGTGGGCAGAGTCGTCGATGGAGCGACACGTACCGCGGCCTCGGCGCCTTCCAAGAGCGGCACGTACTCTATCAAGTCGTCGTCGGCCTTGGCGAGCGCCAACGGCGTCTTGCCCGTCTACGCCATATCAATCCCTGCGAATAGACTCTAGAAATGTCGTTCGACCTTGTTTGGTAGCGTGGCGTCGGCACCGGCGTCGAGGAGGAGGCGCACAATGCTCTCGTGGTCGTTCTTGACCGCCCGGTAGAGCGCACTGCGATGCTTCTAGATCCAAGGATGAGCGCTGACGTCCTTCCATCGAGGAAGAGAAGAGATGGTCGTACTACCTTGTCGAGCAAATCGACATTGGCGCCCGAATCGAGCAGTAGCTTGACGAGACTCCAGTTGCCGTCGCTCGCAGCGTCGTGAAGCCCGCTGCAGCCTTCCTACGCGCTTCCATGCATGTAGCATCTGCTTTGAACAAGGTCGTTGTACGCAGTAGCTGTCCACGAACGCGCCGTGGTCGAGCAAAAGCTGCGCGACGTCTTCCTTGTGATAGCTTACGGCCATCGGCAGCGGCACCGTGTCGCTCTACCGTATGTCGGTCGCTGACTGTTCACGGAAGTACGACAAACAAGGTACCTTGACCGTATAGTTGGGGTCAAACCCGTTCAGGAGCAGCTTTTGCACCGATGCAACATCATTCGCCGCTACCGCGCGGTGGAACGTCTCGAGATTCTACACGAGTCTCGTACCCCGTTGGAGCGATATATAGAGGGACGTACACCAACCACGGGGCCTTTGGCCACGCGCTTCGCAAGGGTCTTGACAATCTCGTTGGCTGTGGGGCGCTTGGATGGCTCCGTCTCGAGACACTGCGTGGCGAGCTCGTGCAGCCACGACTCGCAGGACTCGGTCAGCGTCGGTCGGCGACCCGCGAGGACCGCCTCCTTGATCTGATACTCGTTCGCCAGGTCAGTGGCATCGTGGAACGGCAGCTCGAGTGTATCCAGCTCCGTCAAGAGCACGCCAAACGAGTAGATGTCAGCCTCAGTGCCGTAGCGCTCACCGTCGACGCGCAGCACTTCGGGGGCAGTCCAGCGCGCCGTGCCGCGGCCGTCCGTCATGTACGTGGCGGCCACCTTGGCGATACCCAAGTCGCCGAGCTTGATGTAGTGGTCCAAGCTCAAGAGGACGTTGTCGCTCTTGATGTCGCGGTGAACGATGCCAAGCGCATGCAAGTCCTTCATCGCATTCGCCACGACCCACGCCACCTCGAGGTTGGTCAGCTGCAACTCGCTCACTTGCCGCCACCGCTTCTGGTCCAGATAACCCCGCAGCGTGCCCATGTCCATGTAGTCGAGTAGCAGCGCCGGCGTCATCGAAGCGCGGTCTGCCACAGCGAGTAGCGACACTAGGTACGGCGACGGACACCTACGACCATCTGTTAGATACTCAAAGACAGGGGGTGACGCGACTTGGTCATGGCGTCGGCTTCAGCACAGAGCATCGCAGCACCGTCTTTGGACCCCTTGGACTTCTTGGTGGCGACCTTGCGCCCTTGATACGTGCCCCGATACACAACCGCTTGGCCGCCTGCTCCGAGCTCCTCTGTCGACATTTCGTAGTCGTCACCCGTGATCTAATGCAATGGACGAGTCAGTTTCAGACCGAGATGCGACTCCAACCTCCTGGACAGGCTGGTGCAAATGACGAAAAAGCGTCTCCGCCATGTCGAGGTAGCCGCGCTGGATGGCGACGGCCATTGGAGATCGACCGCCCTATGCAGCCGCCGCATATGAGCACATGTGGTTGCGTTTTTGAACCCGATACCAGATCTGGCTCCTCCAAATGAATGCCCGGCGTCGCAATCAGGCAGGCAAGCGTCTCCGTGTCGTGAGCCCGCACGGCCAAATGCGCCAAGGAGTCGCCCATCTATACGATTGTCAAGATAATTACTAAGGTAAAGGGAGACGGTGGGTACCTTGTTGAACGCGTTGCTGTTGAACGGGCGACTCAGCAGCGAGCGCACCTTGGCCAAGTCGTTGGCGTTGGCGGCGTCCTGGAGCGCGTATTTCTACGATACACAACGCAACTTCGTGCACCGAGCCAAAGGTATTGGGAAAGCTACGTGGTCCGAGGCGTCGGTCATCAGACCCATCATCGTCGTGTTGCGGAGGCGTCCCGCATATTCGATCGGCCGTTGTCCTTGCTACGCAGCCCAAACGATCATTATGCTAGACAGGATGTACTTGTCGACCTTGTTGGTCGCGTTGATGTCAAAGCCAGCGTTCAAGAGCACGCGCACGACGTCGGTATTGTCCATCGCTACGGCCACGTGCAACAGCGTCTCACCATTCTACGACAATATTGTCCATCATATGCGGTCTACACGTGGCATACCATGTCGTCTTGGTCGAATTGAATGCCAGGCGCGGCCAAAAGCGCGGCCACAACGTCGGCGTGGCCTTCGTGCACGGCCACGTACAGAGCCGACACCGATTCCTACGCCATGCTCAGCACCCAATCGGCCTTGAAAACAGAGGAAAGGTACATAAACCGCATTCACATTCGGCGAACTCGCGAGCAGCTTGCGCACCACGTCCGCGTGGCCTCTGGACGACGCCGTAAAGAGGGGGCTCTCGCCAACCTACGCCACACAACACGTCTCGTCCTTTGGTGCGAGAACCATATTTGCATGATGTACCGCATCGGCATTGACGTTGGCGCCGGCGTTTAAGAGCAGGTCGACGACGGCCGCGTGGTCATGCATGGCCGCCATGTAGAGCGCCGTCGCACCGGCAAAGTTGTCGCCGTCGTTGCCGTAGGGCTGGTCGACGTTGCGCATACGCGCAAGCAACGCCGTGACGATTTGGATGTCCCGTCCGTTGCCCGCCGCATCATGCAGCGGCAAGGCCTTCTCCTAAACACGATATTCCGATGCGATATTGCAACCTAGCAAATGGCGTGCATACATCGTTGAGTAAGTTGGGGTCAGCGCCGCTTGCCAACAATTGCTCGACCAAAGCCACGTCGTCGAGTCGCGTGGCTGCATGCAGTGGCGTGTCGCCGCGCTAGCACCTGCGGGTTAGGGTACGTTCATATGGCATGCGTTCGTACGCCGTTGCGGGCGTTGACGTTGGCGCCGGCAGCGACAAGAGTCTCGAGCAGAGCATGGCGCTTCTGGGCCACGACGACGTGCAAGACCGAGGTCCCGTCCTAGAGATAGATGACGGTGTCTTCTCTCTCTGTGGTACCACAACGCACCGCGGTATCGAGGTTGGTATTGGCGCCACGGGCGAGGAGGAGGTCAACCACACGCGTGTGGCCTCGGCTCACCGCCAACACAAGTGCCGTCTCGCCAATCTAATCGGGTGGCTTTAGCAGAGTCGGTAGAGAAGCAAGTGGACCTCAGTCGCACAGTCGGGATGCACGCCATCGTCGAGTTGGGCGATGACGCCATCGACGTCACCGCTGTAAACAGCGCGGAGGAATGCTTGCTCCGGCTATGCAGACATTATATCTATGCAACGAGAACATATTGTCGTGTAGAAGTACCGTCATGTCCGAGATAGCAGCACCCACGGCCTAGCACAGATGTAGTTGCAGCCGCAAAGTCCATATTGAAAGCGTACCATGGACGTTCGAATCGCCGGTCGTGGGCCCGCCGACGCCGACGCATTCGACTCAATAGAGAGGACGTTCGTCGGTGTTGAGGACACCTGTTCGCTCTACATGAAACCTCAGTTGGTAGAACACAGCAAAAAGCCATCTACCGCAAGATCGGCGACAAAGGCAGGACGTGACACGATGAGCTCCGGTCGCCTGCACCATCATGCGTCACCTGCCATCAATCACTGCAACGTACTGTTGCAGTTCCGGACGCAGAAGCTGGACAACGTCGGCCGCCGTCGGGCGCGTCTCGGGTGCCGTCGCCTTGCATCGCGCGTGCAGCGCCGCATACCACGGAGTGTTGTCGGCGTCGGCGTAGCTTGCCATGTCGGGGAAGAGCGTCTCGAGCAAGACGCCAAACGAGAACATGTCGGCGGGAGTGCCGTAGTTGCTGCCCGATATGAGCACCTCGGGAGCCATCCACTTGTTGGTGCCAGCCCCCGTCGTCATGAGCGACGTCTTCTTCTTGGCAATACCCACGTCAGCCACCTTGATGTACTGGGTCGAGGAGAGGAGGATGTTGTCGGTCTTGATGTCGCGATGGACGACGTCCTTGGCGTGGAGGTCGTTCAAAGCGTTGGCAACGACCCACGCCACCTCGAGCGACGAGTAGCCCACCGCTACGGCTTGGTCGTTGGCCACCTTGTCGAGGTACGACGAAAGATCGCCGCCGTCCATGTACTCGAGCACGAGCTGCGGGTTCGTCGAGTCAATGTCGACAGTCGCCAGCAGCCGCAGCAAGTACGGCGATGCATTCCTATGCAGCGACGTCCTGAGCGTACACGAATGAACAGAGGCGGAGGTACGCTTCCATGGCGGCCATCTCGCGGCGCAAGGACGCTGCATCGCCTTGTACATCTTTCAAGGTCTTGACAGCGACATCGTGGTTGTGAAGCGACCCTTTGTACACAACGCCGTAGCCACCGCGCCCCAGCTCGCCCAACCGCATCACATCGCTTGCCAAAATCTACGTCACGTGAGCTGGTTAAGAATGTCTTCCGATGAAACCATGGTACCTCGACGGCTGGCGTTGCTTGCGCGTGATGCAGCTGCGTCACAAGAGTTTCGTTGGCCATCTTGATCGCGATCATGATGGGCGTCTCCCCAAACTAGTACCACAGTGGTTAGGGTAGCACTTCGTACACGCAGAGAGAGACCTTGTTGAGAGGCGTCGTCTGAACACCCTCTTGCGCCAGGAGAATGTCCAGAAGCGCGTCGTGCTGGCCCAAGACCGCAAGGTGCACGAGCGTATTACCATGCTATTCAATTATAAATGAAAAACGATACAAGACAATATTAACCACCTCGTCATTCTCGTTGACGCTGAGCCCCTCGGTCAAAAAGGCTTGGGTGGTCTCGAGGTCGCCGTGGCGCACAGCGCGCAGCAGCTTCATTTTCTAGTCCCAGAGAATCTTGAGCCTCTGGTTGCATCATCTGCGCCCGTACCTTGTCCCGTACGTCTTGGAGAACGTCGACGACGCGGGCGTGGCCGTTGGCGATAGCTTGCGATAGCGGTGTCGACCCGTCCTACGCACTTGAGCTCCAAGACACTGCATGAGATCGTGTTCGGTACCAAAGCGGGCTGGTCGAGGTTGGCTCGCGCATAAGCAAGTCGGCGGACGATGGCGTCGTGGCCGTTGGCAGATGCCATGCACAGCGCCGTCGCCCCCGTCTACTCGAGAGGAATTCCATGTTGATATCGTGTTGGGATCTGCGGACAAAGTACTGTTGCCGAAGTGGCGTTGACGTCGATTTTGGCGGCGAGAAGACACTCGACGGCTTCCAGATGACCATTCGCAGCCGCGACAATGAGACTCGAAGCACCGACCTACTGTGACGTTCATGGAGCCATCACACAAGCACAGACGCACCGCAACACCAGCGTGAACGTTTGCACCAGCCTCAAGCAGAGCCATCATCGCGGTAGCATGGCCATTCTCTGCAGCCATGTACAGCGGCGTCTGCCCCATCTAGAGCGATACATGAGGTGCGAGGATCGCTACTTCATGGACGTACCGACGCGAGGACGTCGAGGTTTGCGCCGGCGCTCATGAGAGCGCGAAGCATGGCTGCATGTCCATTTGAGGCCGCATAGTGCATCGCGCTGCAACCCATCTAGGTAACGGCGTTAAAGAAGGTACATAGACAAGGAGATCGTCGGTTCCGAGGACTACCTTGTCGAGGTCGGCGACGTTAGCGTTGGCGGCGAGGAGTATCGAAGCGACAGCCACGCTGCCTGCGCTTGCAGCTGCCATGAGTGGTGTCATGGCGTTCTACATGCAATAGGCTTGAGATAGATGCTAGGGAGTGCGTCCTACCCATTGGTGAAGATCGATATCGGCCCCGCGATCAAGCAGCTGCTGCACCACGGCGTCGTGGCCTGAGTGAGCCGCGAGCATCAACGCCGTTGCTCCTGACTAGCAGCATTCGTGAGCCTCTTTTATAGAGTGCATCGAGATGGTGGTACCGGAAGGCGGTGGTTGACATCGGCGCCCGCCGTCAAAAGCAGCGCAATGACCTCGGTATGGCCCTTCCCGACCGCCAAAACCAAGGCCGTGGCCTTACCCTACGTTCCATGAGTTCTCGTCGTCGTGCGCGGAAGGCCGGGCGCACCGGTGTCGTCGCATGCACGTTCGCGTTGGCCTCGAGAAGCGCCTCAAC